GCTTTCGAAGTTTATTAATAAGCGTAAACTATCCGATGTAAGAAGGTATAACATGTAGATAAGTGAACACGCTCTGAAAAACGGAGGAAGCGTCAAAGCAGTGAAGAGAAAACTTGAGATAGGCAAAAATCGGATGTATGCACTAAGGGACAAAGCAGGCAAAATAACTACCAATATGAATAGGATAGTTAAAATACCGGAGGAGTTTTACAGAGATCTGTACAGTAGCCGGGACAACCATGACCTTAATACTATAAGATCTAGCAGTAACCCAGATGACACCCCACCAGTAATGATAGAAGAAGTCAGAAAAGCCTTGGAAAGCATGCAAAGAAGTAAAGCTGCTGGTGAAGATCAGGTAACATCAGATCTGCTGAAAGATGGAGGACAGAGTGTGTTAGAAAAACTAGCCACCCTGTTTACGAGGTGTCTCCAGACGGGAAGAGTACCAGAGTCTTGGAAGAACGCTAAAATCATCTTAATACATAAGAAGGAGATGACAAAGACTTGAAGAAGTACAGGCCAATCAGCTTGCTCTCCGTAGTATACAAGCTATTTACAAAGGTAATTGCTAACAGAGTTAAGAAAACATTAGAATTCAATCAACCAACGGAAAAAGCAGGATTTTGAACAGGCTACTCAACAATCGAACACAATCATACTATCAATCAGGTAATAAAGAAATGCTCAGAATATAGCCAACCACTATACATAGCGTTTCTAGACTATGAGAAGGCGTTTGATTCAGTAGAAATATCAGCAATCATGCAGACACGTGTGTATCAGGGCGTCGATGAAGCATATATAAACATCCTGGAAGAAATATACAGGGGAACAACTGCTACCATAGTGCTTCATGAAGAAAGCAACAGAATATCAATGAAGAAGGGTGTAAGACAGGAAGATACAATCTCCCCAATGCTATTTACCGCGTGCTTACAGGAGGTTTTCAGAGATCTAGAGTGGGAACAGTTAGGGATAACGAGTTAATAAATAGTACCTTAGTATCCTGCGCTTCGCCGATGACATTGCATTGCTGAGTAACTCAGGGAACGAATTGCAACTCATGATTACGGAGTTAGACAAGGAGAGCAGAAAGGTGGGTGTTAAAATTAATCTGCAGAAAACGAAATCAACGTAAAACAACCTCAGATGAGAGCAGCGCTTCGAGATAGGTAACAGTGCACTTCAAATTGTAAAAGACTATATCTACTTAGGGCAGGTAATAACCGCGGAGCCAAACCACAAGATTGAAATAACTAGAAGAATAAGAAGGAGGTGGAGCGCATTTGGCAAGCACTCTCGAATTATGGCAGGTAGATTGCCTTTCTTCCTCAAGAGGAAGGTATATAACAGCTGTATCTCGCCGGTACTTAGCTACGGAGCAGAAACCTAGAGGCTTACATAGAGGGTTCAGCTTAAATTGAGGGCGACGCAGCGAGCAATAGAAAGAAAAATGGTAGGTGTAACCTTAAGGGACAAGAATAGAGCTGAGTGGATTAGAGAACGAACGGGGTTAAGGATATCATAGTTGAAATTAAGAAGAGCAAATGGACATGGGCTGGGCATGCAGCGCGTAGACAGGATAACCGCTGGTCAATAAGGGTAACTAACTGGATTCCCAGAGAAGGCAAGTGGGTTAGGGGGAGACAAAAGGTTTGCTGGGCAGAAGAGATTAAGAATTTTGCGGGTATAAAGTGTCAGCAGAAAGCACAGGACCGAGTTAACTGGCGGAAGATGGGAGAGGCCTTGTCCTGCAGTGGACGTAGTCAGGCTGATGATGATGATGATGATGATGATGATGATGATGATGATGAATCGTAATTTCTTCTGTATTAATTCCTTGCGCTACAGTTAAAATCCCTTCACCTGTAGGCCAGTAATATCGACGGGCTTCAATATAGGTCCGCTTGCTTGTTTGCTTTACCCCCCTCGAAATGTTCCTCTCTCTTCTTTACTCGCAAGTGCATCATCGATTGAACTGTCTGCTAAAGCTAGCGTGTCCTGCAGAGAAACGGGTGAATAGCAGACAGGACAAGGTTAGTCAATGTTTTCATGCACCATTCACCAAGAACACTCGTGAAAATTCGTAACAGCGGCTCTAAGTCCCTACAAATGTGTTTATTAAAGGGCCAGAGTTAATTTCCTCCTCCTCGACTAGCTTCTATACTAGATAAGGAGGGAAGATGTTTGAGGTTCGCAATGGGTCCCCTCGATGACTCGAGTGCACGATGGCAGCGCGAAGAAAGAGCCATAGTACGGTGAAGAGACGCTTCTATTACAGCCTCAGGCGTCTGCGCGAGTCCAAGCCCGAACCTCCGCTCTCTATTTCACATTCAAACAACCTTTTTTCAACCCTCGATTGAACAAAGGGTCTCCCCACAAGCCAATCACACGTTGGGCTTGCATCACCACAACCAATCGCGAAAACACTTTCATACCAGGCACTGCATTGGTAAATATCACGTTATGAAGTACAACACGAGAAGGGTATAGGTTATCCACGGGCTACACTCTCTCCCATACCAGGCCGACCTCCGTTGGTAGCCATTCTCACGCTTGAGTTCCGTTAGTTCTCTCAATAAATGTTGCTTTGTAGGAACCTCCTTAAGAGCGGTGAGTACACCGTTGGGCTCTGTGCGCTTACCAAGTGTGCATGCGACAGCGAGGCGCCCCGCCTATCTTAACAACACTTGGTAATAACGTATAGCGGGAGAGGATATGCTCGTCTCCGTGCCGCAATCATTGTCAGCCCAGTGGTCAGGTCCCCTGCGGCATTCTCAACACACGTGCATGCCAGAAATGACTTAAACTCAGACGACGGCACCTGCCCTGCTTCTTGCCTAGACGCTCTTCCGAGTAAGCCTTCCCCTTCTAGTCCCAAACGGGGGCGACCTTGACGGCTGCCACTCGTTAACCGTGTGAACGAAGGAGTCTCCTTTATTCCTTATGCGCATGTCTCGCGCGTTTGCCTTGCGGAACCGATCAGCTTCGTTAGTTGACGGGTCGGGAACTGGCTCCGCGCTCTGCATCAGCCGCATTAATTGTGCTACACACAACGCGCCGCTAATGGTTACCTCATACTAACTGGCCAGTTAACAGGCTCCGACTTTTTTTTACATTCCCCAAACAAGCTCGCGAATCCTTCTTACACTTGACAAACTTGCTTACAGGCTCAGTGACGTCAACTCGGCGATCAGTGACGCTGTTGAGACCTGGTTTAGACCAATCGACGAGCTGCGTGCTGCGTCACGTCGCCGATCACCGAGTTGACGTCACTGAGCATGGAAGGAAGTTTCTCAAGCGTAGGAAAGATGCGCGAGCTTGTTTGGGGCGTGTAAAAAAGTTGGGGCCTGTTGACTGACCCTTTAAAATGAATCATCACACATGCAGCTAGTATACTGACAGATGGGTGGATTGTAATTGATTGCTAAGCACTCTTCTTCCCTCGATCCAGATTCGTGGGACTGAAGCGCTCGAATCCAGAGGTGACTTTATGGGCGTGTCTTGGAGGCAGCGTCGAGGACGGGCCTAGGTTCGTCGCACTTGTCAAGGAAAGGCGCTACGCGAGTGACGTTCGCGCTTAACTCGGCGGAGTGGCTTCGTCGCAACGAATTTCAAGGGCTGCTCATCTACTGGAAGTACCCGAAACACGAGCACCGTATCAATTTCACCGTGCTGCTGGCTGATCTGCACAATTCCTACATGAGCGACGGCCTTCTCCTGTCGGCGGTGCTTCCCATGAACACACGGTTGCGGCGTGAGTCGTACTACGTACAATCCGTCTACGAAAACCTGGACGTGGTGCTGGTGGACGGGCACCGGTCGCTCGACCCGCGCCACTTTCCATTGGTGACGTGCGCGACGCCCGTGCGCACTCTGCTTCGCACGTCGCACCAAGGTCAGTACGGCCTAATGCGTGTGCTCGACGACCTAAGGCTCGAGACAGACGACTTCCGCAAAACAGTCCTCAGCGTGTCCTTCGCGGGCGTCTCGTTCACCCTGCGCCACAGAAGCCTGCACCGAGTGGGCGCCGCGGCCGCGGGGCCCGGTGCTGCCTGGCGAACGCACCAACGAGTCTGGGCTGCTGAGCTACGTCGAGGTGCAGGACAAGCTCCGCAACGAGGGCTGGAAGCGCTCCTACCATCACTATGGCCACTGCCCGTTCGCCAGGAAGGATCTCCAATGGGTCGCGTACGAGGACGAGCAAAGCGTGGCCGACAAGGCCATCGTGACCTCCATATGCACTGGGTCTGGCCGTCTGGGATGCTGACATGGACGACTTTGCGGGCGTCCTGGGCAAGCCGTGTCCCCTGCTGCGCAAGCTCCACGAAGTCGTGCACACGAGCGCGTCGCAGCATAAGATCCCCAGCTCGCCGAAGTCGTACCGAAAGTTCTTCTAGGGCCGTTAAGGTAGAAGGCAGGGGCCTGCGATTTCACCCCAGCCTCTCTCTACTGTTCAGACGATTACGTGAAGATGCGTATAAAAGATTGTCGGCAAAGCGGCAATTTTGCCATTGTTTGTTCTTTTTATTGTACGAACGAGAAAGCGATAGTTGTTAGCAGGGAAATTACGTTGAACGTTGCTGTAACGTTTCTTGATATGTTCGTAATCCTTTATTCGCAGCTTCGTGTCAATAAAGTATGTTGCTTACGCTTCTAAAAAGGCAAGATTAAGTAAATTTAGCAGCTGTCAGGTGAATGCTCAGAAGAAAACTATTACTTAATGATAGATCATGCTTTTTTCTATAATACATGCACGAAAAATAACTAGAACGCTTTGAACTCAACTAATACAACATTCGCTGCCCCTTCGTTCCATGTAAATAACAGGCGACTAAAAATTGTTATCTGACAGGCTTCACGAAGCTTCATGAAGTTCAGTTACTGGATATTTATTGGCTATTAACGTAAACAGGTAGGTTTTACTGAGGCATATTATGCCGCCCAGACGTGCAACGTAAGACTCTACGGTCTTAGTGGAAATGCATGGCACGCACCTGACGTTGTTATGGCGCTGAACGTACAGCTCGTGGAATCGCTGGCGGCTCCTCTTCGTGGAAGTTTGACAAGCATCGGCCATTTTCAGCATGATGCTACGCTTCACCTCGGCTGCGATGTAGGCAGGAATTACACTCAGCAGCAGCTGTTCCTGTGGGAGCAGAAAAGAGATTACCTTAGATACCTTAGTCACATTACTGTGGCGATGAAAAACGGACCGTCTAATCGATAAGATTGAACGCTTTATTCGGCGAACCTGTGCCCATAAGGCAAAACGCTCACAGTGAAATGATGGCGGTGAGCACCATCGTCGGTCGAAGATAATCAAATCTACCCTAAGTGAAACGCATCGGAATTGATATACATCAGACATCGTAAACTCCAGGATTATTGCTGATGCTCGCGGAAGCTCTATAAGGAAGGTTGTGTCGTATTAACAATCTGATTATAAAATTTGTAAACACTCCAGAAAGCTCCAGCACGTTGAAGAGTGGCCTGCGCCGAGTGACAACGCAAATAAATGTTTCACGCAGTGTGACGCTGCAACAGTGAAATATTATGTAATTACACGTGTCACTATCGTCATCCACAAAAAGTAGCACCAGAGAAAGCGCGCAGTTTGCACTTAATGCATCCATCGCTTCTCGTTTTGATTTGATTGATATGTGTGGTTTAATGTGCCAAAACCGCCATATGATTATGAAAGACGCCGTATATAGTGGAGAGCTCTCGAAGTTTCAACCACTTGGGGTTATTTTACGCGCACCCAAATCTGAGCACACAGGTCTACAGCATTTTTGCCTCCATCGAAAATGCAGCCGCCGCAGCCGGGATGCGATCCCGCAACCTGCGGGTCAGCAGCGGAGTACTTTAGCCACTAGGCCACCACGGCGGGGCGCGCTTCTCGTTTTACGAATAGTCCCTAGCGTCGCCTAGTTACCTTAAAGAAAAAAAAAGGGGGGGGGAGGCATTATGGTGGACGAAAGCAGACTGAACCAATGGTGCACTTCCTCAGGCCAGAAGCTTCATCATTATGCGCTCAAAGCCGACACATCACAAGTTCAGAAACCTTTAATAGTAAGTGCTTCGGCTGACTCGGTACTTTTGCATCTCTCTGCCATAAATTTCAAGCACAGTTATCATTCTAGCACTAAGATTTGGACTCTGGCAAATAAAGCTGTCTTTATAGCTCTAGTATGGAGTATATCAAACGGTAGAAAAATGAAATCAGGAATAGCGAGCAAAAAAAAAAGGCCATTCGAGAGGCAGCTTTCCTTTTCACATGGAAATATTCTACGTGCTCCCTTATACATGCGGCACACATGCATGCTCATATATTCTCATTCGCAATCTCAAAAAGCACCACAATGGCGAATGTCAGTCGCTATGTGCGTGCGCAACAGCAGCCGACGCTGGGAGAAGGAATGAAAAAACACTCGGCTACTGCGGACTGCTGCGCTTCTGCTCGAACTTTTCTCCCAGAGATTGCGGATTCTCTCACGACGAACTCAGAGAGGTCATGGGCCTCACGTTCCCACAAGTGTGAAAGCAGGAGTTCGAGATTTTAAATAGAACATTGGCCGTTTCTTGGATATATGAGGCGTGCCGGAATGTTTTCCGACAGTGCCCTAAAATGGGTTCTATTACAAAGAAGCGCAAGAAGTAAACAATATAGTGGTATGATGGGTCTTTTAGCTGCAAAGAAAGAACTGGTAGTCTAGAAAGTCAGCGGTAACCTCCTGGTCATTTTCGCAGCTACTTTACTTCATTCGGATTCATCCGAATTTCTTCGCACCTCAAACACCAAGTTTTTTCTTCATTGCTTTTGACTGCGACAGTTACTCGAAAAATACTCGGAGTTGATATGTCCTCGGGCTTACGTTTACGTTTTGCATGACAATCACTAAGATTTAAATAAGCATGATGTTTTCACCTTACTTGCTTTAGATAAAAGGGTCCTGTTAATAGCCTCAGAAATTACCTTCACATGGCTGGAAAACTCGTAAGCCCGATGCATTACAAGCACTCATAAACGTCGAAATACAAAGCGTTCAAGCAAGTGAGAGGGTATAAAGTTCACGTTATTTTTCAAAAGTAGAGGGCTGCTAATTTCGACGGAAGTATTATAAGAAAGCCTAGGAAGCCGCCACGGAAATTCCGTGAGTGACACGACCTATAATACATACATATATAATTGTCAACCATGACAGCTTGATAGCACAAGTAGTAGAGCGAAAATTGAAAATCGCCAAGTTTTCGATCGGTTACCCATATAATATTAATCTTTGAAAGGGCACATATTTATACTACCGCAAAAGGAAACAAGTGGAAATTGCAAGACATGAAGTGACATCGCTCCACACTGCACGGTCAGATTTGCGTGTTCGTCCGAACAACAACCTCCACATTGTTTTGTCTTACAAAAGACGCATAAGCTCGACGACCTCCAGCTCATGAGTTCAGAGATGTCACGTATCATGTAAGCCCTCAGAGCTTCAGCTTCTCTCGCGTTGTCTAAGCAAAACAAATGCTTGCACAAACCCCCTAAGTATGCGCAAGCGTTGCGTCTCTTGCTCATCTCGGTCGCATTATAGGTTGTTGCGGTTCTGTTTTGTTTTTCCTTGATAAAACTACACGACGTATAAATAGTGATCAGCAAGTGGCAGTATTCATGAGCAAACTTCACTGTGCATCTGTCAGCGTTTACCACGTAGTGCCCAGTCCCGTCGCCCTCCTCAGTCCTGAACTGTTGTCATGCCGCGACTGTTCAGTCCTGAGCGGCTCTCACGTAATAGGTGTGGGATCATCACACTGCGAGCACACTTCGCCACTGCGCATCACTACAGAAAAAAAAGAAACCCTTGCCGTCACAGGAACAGGCATCTCCTAAACTAGTGGTCGAGATATCTTGAACTTCTAAGGGCATGAATGGTTAGCCTTATAGTGGGTAAGATACCTGGCTTTGAGCGGGTGGCTTTAGGTTTGAAACTCGCCTCTGGCAACATTTTTGTTGTGTCTTATTTGCTCCAATATTACGCAAGAATTTTCAGGCAATTCAGCACAGAAATATGTGTCTGTCTCTCCGTCACACGATGGGCTACATGAATAAAGTGGAACGTTAGTAGCGAATAGCACGATGCTTACGCATTTTAGGCAAGCCCGATGAAATTTCTGAAGATATTGTTTGGGGGAATTGCATCGTGTAAGGCGTTACAGACAGACGAACAGGTTTCTTGGAAGAGCCACCTAAGAAAGCTTACGCATTAAAACTACAAACATTAAATGCTTGTACAACAATATCGCAAATTTTGATTTTATGTGGAAAGTAATAAGGCGCTGTCCCCGTGGCACATTACAACAGGAGAGCCGTGTGCTATAGTTAGCAAAATATCAACATCATGAACGGACGCGCTCAATTACCACCAAAGCATTGATTACAGATGGTTAACCAGAGAAGCTGAAATGTGCAGGCTTTACTCGCGTTGGCCGTTGTTATTAATTTTTAGTGAACCATTGGGGTAAGTAGTGGGATATTCCCAATCACTGGGCTACATAGGCGCTATAGGAGTATTACAGCAGATCATATATGGTCGAAGAATGAGAGAGATGGAAAGTGAGGGAACGACTACAGAAATAAAGAGTGGAAGACACACAGAAAGAAAGAAGGAAAAAAAGAGAAGTCCATGGAAGAAAATAGAAAAAGAAAGACGGACGAATAGATGGAGAGAAAGAGGTTGACACAGGCTAAAAAAAAAAGAAAACAAAGGAGAGCAAACATGGCCGTGTGTATTACAATAGAGCAAGGGCTCAGAAAAATACAGTTGAGAGGGTAAAATCACAGCCAAGTATGGGGCAATTAGGTGCCCAGTAGCTCTGCTGTTACCCAGTCATGTGCAAATTACTGCAAACTGGGCAGTATTTTTAAACTAATTTTTCAGATCAGCTCATCAATAGAACACTTACGAGAAAGTGAGCAGATCTTAACATTCCCACAAGAGCATCACTGCAAACTATTCTCCCTCTGCGACTCCGTTTACAGTAATGCTTTTCTGCCTTCTGCTATGGGCCAGAGCCGACGGTCCACGTCACGTTAATGTGAAAAGCTCCACCCTCTTTGTTTCTTCATCTCTGATTTGCTTTGTGAGGTAGTTCTTCATTGCGCATTGAACATAAATGTCTGATTGAATTCACACAATTCTCATGACGTTTTTAGTAGAATTTGTCACAGCGTAGATTTGTGCGTGCATTACTCGATGTTCGGCTCTCGAGAGAACAAGCACGTGTGGAGTTTTGGTTGATAATCGCTAGCTGACACCTACGGCAAGATGAATATACTGTCAGCGGCGAAAGTGACGATTACCCAAAAAGAAAATAGTGTATCCGGTGAGAACTCCTGCACACCTCGTGCTTATAATACAAACTGAAACCACTATTCAGACCAGTGAACAGCCATCAAAATACCACCAAAAGTGTCAGTGCTACCAGTAAGTGCAGAAAGCGAATAACGCCTTGGCTATTCATCGTCATCGCCAGCACTGAGACAGTCGGCCCATGCAACACGGCCTCTTCAAGGGATTCATTACAGTTAATACTGCAATAAAGTGCCGCAACCATGGGAGAAGTGACTATATTTTCGTGTCCATGTTTCTAATGGAGCACCTATATAGCTTTCAGTGCTTGAACTCGTAGCTACATACGCAACGCTCTAAACACGCAAAAGGTTATTCTTACACTAGTCGTGCTACATTAAGTACTGTGTTTACCTCGTAATGTACACAAGAAGTCGCGAGCTTCATGATAGGGCAAGGTGGCGTCATTTAGACTGGGTGGTAATTGTACCTTCATTACGCAATAAAAGTAAGGAAACAAGATAAAGTATTCTTTATCTTGATGTCACTACTAGAACAGTTTGTCGACAGTGCTAATGTTACACGATTCTACCTTAATACTACAAAACAAACAAAGAGTAACATAGGATACAAAGAGCAGTACAGCTCTCTTAGACGCGCGTTGTCCAAAATATAGTGGTTTTATGTCGTAAATACTATTAAACAGCTGAGCGTAACCATCATTTCAGTATTTCGCTTGTCGCTTAATTTAGCTTGTCGTTTGACGTGGTTGTGACGATGCAAATTTCGCTTCTTCTGCGTA